CCCGAGGCAACGAGATACAATACTGTGTGTAAATTGTTCCAGTTCGACTCAGGTTCAACGACCCTGTGTCAGAATCTCCGCGGCTCTAAGTTTAATAAGGCTCGAAAGGAATAATCGAGCTAAATGATTACGGAGCAGTATTTTTCAAGTCTATAACCTGCTTGTCAACCTGGAACCTACCAAATAACGAAGAGCCTAACATATCTGCCACAGTACCGCCTACCTACTTAGGTCCTCTCGTCATTTGTCTTGGCCTCATAGAATAGGCTAATGTTAACAAGGTCACCTAAGTAGAGACTGTGCCCACCATTTCGGAACTTCATAGTAAAGTTAAAGACGGTTCCAGTAAGGAACGGGATAGACGATGCCCACATCCCATGTAACTCACTGGAGCAGAGGAAGATAAGATAGGACCAACGCTTACATTTTTTAAAAACTCAACTGACAGTGAGTGAACGTATATATATATCTCCTCAATAATTATTTACATAAACACCACCTCACATCATCACTCACCACCACCATCATCATGTCTAAAATCACCATTGCTCTCAGATCCTTGACATACTTCTATTTTCCTTGATTCTCCATCTGTAACAGTTACATGTTATAATAATTATGTACGTAACACACTATTGGACACTATCACACGCAACTTTCTCTACTAATCAGATGGCGTCAGTCTCATAGAAATGGGCAAGGGACAAAAAATAAATGTAAAAAAATAAAATGGGATTGGGTACCCAACTATAGACAGCGAAACATCTCGTCAGTTTATTAAAGGTTGAGCGCTTAATCGGAAGCTTGCACTGTATGTTTCCCAGGAAGACGAGAATATTTCTCATAAATATACTCAAGGGTCTTCTGAGGTGACAAATAGTTGCAAAGTGCACAGAGAAAGCTTTAGAGCATTTTATCTCATAAATGCCATATAACTACAATTATTATTATCATTATAATTATTATTATGGGAAGGCAGCATATCAATAACTTCATCTTTCTTGCTAGAACATATCCCACACAGCCTACTTTGACCCTGACACAGATCTTAGCAAAAGCTGATCTTCTGAAGCTGGGGCTACCAAACTACAGCCCCCAGCCATGACACCCCCCCCCCCACAAAATAAATTTGTTTGGCCTGCAGTTAGGATGCCTCTGTATGGACGGATTTTGTGGAAAAAAAACCCCAAGAAAAAATGTTTATAATGTGCTCAGGACCAGGTCACCAAAAGAAGCTGATCAATCATTGATCTCTACAGTGCAAAGTAAATGTTCTTTAATAAACTTTATAACTTCTCGCTGATGTATCACTCTCTCTCCAGCTCCAATCTAATGTAAACATTTTTTTCATATGAAACATTTCCTACAACAAAAAAGGATCCATTACTTAATCTGATTAGTGGCAGATACGTACGTATGTTGTCTATTTTTTTAAAAATATTATATTACCATTTTGCATTTTGAATATTCTAAATCCATGTTGGTTGTCTTTACTTTTTATGTACTCTGTGTATTTTATGAACAAAATAGTTATCCAACCTGCACTCTGCATACACATGATATATAAGAACCCAGAAAGACAGTTTCTATTTCACTAACATTCTTTATATATGTGACAGCGTCAGTGCCAGATACTCAATGATCACATAAAAAGAAAGAAAGTGAGAGTGAGATGATAGAGAAAGAGAGAGATAGAGAGAGAGAGAGAGAGAGAGAGAGAGAGAGAGAGAGAGAGAGAGATACAGAGACAGAGAGACAGAAAGAGAGACATGTCATTTCAGTGAATGAAGTACAACTAGAGACATACTTGGCAAAAAATTAGTCGCTTGCAAAAATTATTTTTTTTAAAATTTCAACCAACCCAACGTCATTTAACTCTTTTCCTACCAGGCCAAAATCCACCACTTTCCCAGGGCTTTCCCTCACCTATTTTTACTCCCCTACCGCACCAAAGGAAAATGTCAAAACATCCAACTAAACATACACACAAACCATACCATATGGCCCATCAAATTGAAGGTTAAAAAAAATCTATCAGATGGTGATTCAATATTGAAGATTTATTCCAATTACATTAGTTTGGGGTTTCTAAAAGTGATTATGCAATATCAAAGGTGTCATATGAAATCAACAATTTTTCTGCTTTGAAGGGTCATGAAATTACAACAACGGCATCATTCAAACTTCACAGGTAGTTTGCCTCAAGTAAGGCAAAGAATGCTAAAAGTTATGTATGTGTACCTATTATAGAAGTGAAAATATGACACGTATATTGAAGTCAGAGGAGCACTTTATTTTCATTTTTACATTTCGAAGGGGACAGACAAAAATGCTGAAATTACTAAAAATCGTCTCTCAGTGTTATATTTTCTTTCATATCCACTAACAGGAAGTCTATTCTTATATTTCGAAAACATGGATCAGCCGAGAATTTTGTGTCTTTTCATTACTTGATTGGAATAGATAGCCAGCCACTCGAGCTGTATTTTGAGGCTCTCGGTCCAGCGAGGCCACATGGGAAAAGTGTTATAATATCCTTTTCAAATCTAAATGTGAATATGAAAAACTTTCATATTACCACTCTACTACTTTGATCAAGTCATAATATTCCGACGATTGATAGCTTACCTAAATTCTTTCAAAACAAGACAAAAACAGCTGAAAGATAACATAAGACATCTCACCTTGGGCAAGCACTCAGTCATGAACTTCTGTCCTCCAAAGCCAGGGTTGACCGTCATAACGAGAACAGTGTCGAGCATGTCGACGTAGGGCAAAACCACTTCCACGTTCGTCGGTGGGTTGATACCCATTCCAACCTGCAAACCAAACATGTCGTGGTCGTATCTTTAAAAATTTGCAGAGGGAATAGATCTACTTCTTTTCAGGGCAATTTTCAATTTTTTAAAATAATTATTACTCGTCTTCAACTTTAATTGCGCCTTTTTTTAAAATATGAGCAAAAAGAAATCAAAGCACAGTCAGGCTTTGGTTACTCAAAACATATCAGGGGTTGACAAATGTGTTTGACACATCCTTAATTCAGGTAAACCAACAGGAGAAAAATATTAGAGAAATGTTGAAGAAAATCAAGGGAAATTGTGAAGGATTTACTGTAGCAGAATCACTACACACAGCTGTGCGAATAATGCGATGTCTCTTTTTGAACCTATCCAACCATCCTGTATTACATGTGAAACCAATGTTGAATTTCTTTTTTATTTCATTTGCTTTCGTTGAGAGAACGGAACCAAAGACAAGATGAGACACGACAAAAGCTTGCTGCAACTGTTTAAAGTTAAAACGATAGCTTGATGTTCTCAAATCTAGCTAATAGAAGTGTGCTCCCTTTCTGTCAGGTTGACATCCAATGATGGGCGATTTTATCTCGAATTTTTAGAAACATGGAATACATTGATTTGGGGATACCAAAATCTCTTATGAAGTCCCACCTTAGAGCAGGATTCTTTTAATGTCATTTTGTTTTAGTTAAAGTTTTATGGCATTTGCCACACATTTAGGTCATATAAGTGCCGAAGAGTAGAGGTGTTACAAAACCGTAACAAACATAAAAAAGACGGTGAAAAGATAAGGACGATAGATGTTTGAGAGAGGAAAAAAGGAGCAAACCACACCAGAACCCCAACCAACCACCCACTTTTTTGTCAACCTCTGCTAAAATGTGACGCTTGGTTTCTATTATCAAACAATCAGGTTTCCTCTTCTCTGACATCATAAAAAGAACCCGGTTTCAATAAAAGGATGTAAAAAAGGAAAGTGCGTGAGCCTTGTTCGGTGTTGAAACAAGTGAAGGGAAGAAAGTAATGCCAATGAGCTTTGCGACTAAAATAAAATTATTCTTACGTCAGATCATGATAATGATGTAACCAACGCAGATCACAGCACACCTGAGCCCTCTTTTGATACAAAACTTTAAAAAGTCTTGAAACATACACATCACTAAATTGGTCATCAAATCAAAACAAATTTTGACATTTTCATCTTATGAAAGAACTCCCAGTAAATGAGTAAGAGAGACTTATTTTCGGCAATTGTTGAAAATTAATATAAAATGTTGTCCTTGTAATGGAATTTTCCAGAGCTGCTGACAGCAGATCAGCAGCACAGCGGTTGCAATTGTAAGCCACTGCGAGCGGCTTGCCGAAGTTAAGAAGTCAAAATTTTCATCTTAAAATCCCAGCATTTATTTCTTTTAATGCTCCTTAAACAATAGTACTCAGGAAAGCTTGGACAGCCACCCTCCCCCATCCCAGTGTCAAGTCACAACTGTAAAAATCCACTGACCTTCATTCCAGCTTCTTTGATCTTCCTGATGCATCCGACCGGGTCATCTGTGGCCTCGTAGTGAAATGTGTACATGTCAGCACCTGCATCAGCCATGCCCTCGACCCACTGGGCGCAGCACGTGAAAAAAAACTCATTTTACTTCATTCGGCACATACATCGCCATTGGAAACACTACAAGGTCAAATCATTTTACGAGATGAAGTTGGGACCTAGCAGCACCTGAATCACAGAATATAAAGGCAAAAAGAAATTGATCCTATAAAAGTGACTTTCTGTAGGCCTACACAGCAGTTGCAACTGGGGGAGCAACAAATCATTCCTTGTAAAATAGCAAGTCTGCAATTTGGCCTAAACTTTTCAATAAAATGCAGATCTCTAACTTTTTTTCCTTTCTCTTGTCTTGGTAGCAAAGCTCTTCTAAGCAACTCTCAAGTAACTGACACAGAGAGACAGAGAGGGAGAGAGAAGAGGGGAGGAGACATATGCAACTAAATGTAGAACAACGCAAACTAATTTTAGGTAAAGCAGCCACCTTGTGTGACGTCAGACCAGGAAATTTTCTACTAGGCTACATGATCTTTGATGGCACGGCGCTTTGGTGCGATATTTTTTCCATGAATACCGGTAATGTGATATGATGCGGAGCTCTCATGATGCTGCTGCTTATTTATCTCTTCAGCGCATTGTTTATTGGGCCTGGGGGGGGGGAGTGTTGTAATCTTACGGCGTCTTTACGGCAATTTCCGCGCGCTTTCTTTATTGTCTTTGCGTTTACTGTGTTTCAATTTTAAGCATCAGCGTTCTTACTGTTCTGAGCATCAACGATCTAAGCGATCTTTCATCATGTCCAAGTGTGAAACTTAACTGTGTGAAACACATCAATGGATAATATGTCAAGCCACTGACCCAACAGGTCGTTCCTTCAAAGATCGTGTAGTATAGAGAATCTTTGGTTCCACGTGGTATCTCCACAGCCTTCTACAAATAGTCTGTGGGTATCCCTGGATGTAATGACATCACATTACTAAAATTAGCAGCCAATCAGGCAGGTGTGTCATTCTACTTTTAGCTGCATGTGAAGGAGACAGGCAAAAAGAAGGTAGGGATGGACAGACATAAAATAGCAATGCCAATGAAAATTTAAATTTTCACTTTAGCCCCCTTTTTTTGGTACCTAAGAAAGAATTTTCAATTCTAAGAATTATGCTTCTTGAATTTTGAGAATCGGTTCATAAATAAAAAAGTTATGGGGTTGTAAAGGTCGGCAAAATATGGATGACCCACATATAGGAAAATACTCCTAAAAAGTGGACCACGCAGTAGCAGATTCTGTAAGAAAATCGACGATATCTCGGTAACTAATCAGAGTGTTCGAGAGAAACTTGGCTACCCGATGTGTTTTTGAGTGTAGAAATCATTTCTACAGTCAGATTTACTACAAATTTCGTAGTTATTTTGTTATAATTAAAATTGTGGTGTACATATTACGATTTTGCGAAAAAGGGGTGTCGGGATGAGTCCATTTTATTTATAGCATCGTATCACAACATGGGATCTTTAAGAATATATGTCGACAGCGTGACTAAATAATTGCAAAGCTTTTTATGATGGCTTTAGACCATGTCAACCGTAAAAGATAAGTTAATTCAATCTAGCATGCCGTACAATTAAAAATTCTTTTTCCCCGTTGAGACGCAAACACCCCGAGATGAGATAACCTCGCCTCGGAATACCCCCATTTCAATGTTACAGGGGAATAGAGAGAAAAACAACCGGATGCGCGCGCCCGCCATTGCCCTATTTCAAGTGACCAATGAACGGGCCCGGAATAGTCATGTGGGGATTTGTAGGTCACATACATTTGCCACGAGAGTGAAGTGAAAATGGCCGGTCTCCGTGCGAATCCGCTTTGGATAGGGGGGTAGTCGTGTATTTATGATCGGGTCTAAACAATGCCCGATTGGCATTGCTATATTTTTAAAAAACAAAGAAAAAGAGTGAAAAAGGGAGACTTTCAACTTCTTAGTCTCCAGCCTACAATAATATGGGGTGCCCATTGGGAGATCGGGTCTGGTCGGGGCGGTTTGCTAGCCAGTTTAAAGGCGCAAAGCGGCTATCATGGAACAAGCCAATCGTGTCCAACTCGCCGACTGGAAAATATATAAATGCGTTTGTTTTCAGGCAACGAGAGGGGTGATCGACCCCCGACCCGACCCGATCCCATTCACAATGGGCACCCCGTATAACATTAATTAAGTACAGTCTTAGTCTAGAGTCACTACAGACTAGCCGGCGCTAGCCTCCTGAACCGGCTGAACGTGTACTGCTAGGCTGTAGACTGTACTGTCGTAGTTTTAGGCAGGCCTGTGGCTGTTGAGTAGTATCACAAAGCAAAGAGCAGGAGAGCAAGGCACTGGCATGTGAACTATTGCAAAATATGGAAATTGTCAGGTTCACATGCTATGGGCTATATGAACATGACTCAATGAGAGACATGGAACTAATTTGGGACATCCCTACCTTCTCTGGTTCTGAAACCATCATGTGCATTTCGAAGAACACTCCTGGTAACTTTGGACGCAAACATTTGACAACAGGGTGGCCAAACGTTAGGTTGGGTACAAAATGTCCATCCATGACATCGAGATGCATGTAATCTGAACCGGCTTCTACCAAACGTTGACATTCTTTAGCTAAATCCGACAAGTCAGCGTTCAAAATCGAGGGTCCAATTCTGCAGGAGCAACCATTGGAGAGCGCCATTTTGTTTTTCTTGAGGAAGGGGGGTAACTCTGAAAATCTTCTTTAAATTCGTTCACACAAAAACTCGAATAAAAACACCGAAGTAGGTTTCGTTTAAAATTGAATTAAATTAATGCACTAATGGCGAATCTCCGTTGACCAAGAGCTCGATTAATCAAGGTTCTAATCTTGGAACAAATAAATCATTAATAAATGGTTCTCGAACTGGTCAGAATGATTTCTTTTGCAACACTGGCCTTGAAACTTTGATATCATAAACTGCTTTGCAATGCATGCACGATAGGCCAGCAGGATATCCTTGAAGTCACAATAAATAATTATAATTATTGTACACGTAATAGTCTATGCCTTCATCGATACAAGGCATGGATTTGAAGTCCTCCTCAATCGAGTAACGTTGATCAAAAGAATGAGAGTGTAGTGTGTCGAAGCGTACGAGTAAGAAAATCCAAGAGTACGTGATGACAGCAAAACTGCTGGCTGGGAAAATGGTCCATTTATAGCATAGCTCGCTGTTTGCTACAGGGGTCAAAGTGACAGTCATGCTTACAAGGCTCCTTACAGAAATCACTGTCGCCTACACTTAACGGTGCGTGACGTTTGCTGTGAAGTGGAGAAAGATATACGTTACCAAGAAAGGCAGGAAATAAAAATACGTCATAATAGCTATGTTCCGGTAGGAGAGGTTGCATACTTTTAAATATTTCTGTGGGTGGGCGTGGGTGTATGTGTGTATGCCCGTATATGTGTGTGTTTGTATGTTTGTATGTGTGTGTGTTTGTGGGGGGG